GAGCATGCCTGGATTGTATCGCGTGCACATGCTACTCCGAATATCAATGCGACCACGCGATGTGTGTGTACATGTGTGCGTGTATAAATGTAACGTTTTCATTAAAACTTACTACCGTTATTAGCTGTACTATGAATGGAGCGCAAGATGCCGCAAACTAGAGCTGCCGTAAAAGAAAGTAACAGAAAAAAATGATAAGTAAGAAGGGAAAAGGTACATAAAAGAGGTAGATCAGAGATAGAAAAAAAGCAAAAAGAAGCGAAAACTGTGACGTCCAGTAGACATCCGCATATGTATATATACATGTATGTATATTTTACTTTCTGAGAACAAAGATGCGGATGAAATATTCAAACGTAAAATTAAACAATGCTATGACACATAAATATATACAACATATATTGCAAAACTGTCTAATTTTATGTGTTAACATTTTATCGTAATCTGGTTGTTTGTTACTAAAACACTTGCTCTTTAATAAAAAAAAACAGCTTTAATAAAAATAACACCATCAAGTTCTGAATAAGCAAGTTAATTAGCCATACCTGACAAGAAATAATAACACACACATATGATAGTTTATTCTTCTAAAATCTTTACTATTAATATTTTATTAAATAATGTTTTTAAATATTTATTTGTCTAGGAATAAATGTATGTAGCATTGTAATAAATTGATAAATGGCATTTAAATGATTCTCATTTAACTATACATTTAATACTTTTATCATACTTTTACTATACAAAAAGTATATATATATGCGTGTGTGTGTGTGTGTATATATACATATATATTGTATATATGTTGTATATATTTGTACGGATGTTATATATTATTTTATATTAACATTTTCGAGTATTACAACTATTTTTATAAAAATTAATACTAAATTACGTTTTATGAAACAAAACGTTAATCTATTTAATTATATTACATAAATGTAACGTGACAGCTAAATTGTAAGTTTGGCAGAAAATTTATCTAAAGTGTAATTTGGAGTTGACAAGAAGTATTTAGTCCCAGAGTATAATCAACGCGAAAATGTATCGCTTACGAACTTCCCACGGTACTTCCTATCGCAACGTGCATCATAAATGTCAATTAGCGCCACAATACCTCGCAAACGTGAGAACAACGCCAATTTACTCGCTTTCGTGCGCCACACGTCATTATCTCTGCGTTTCTACGTCATGCGTTTTCAAATTCTCCTAATTATAAGGTATAAACTACCGAATGTTTAACGAATATATGACTGTTATTTCGTATCAAAAATTTATATCTTATTAACGTAATATTTCGTAATAACAGTTTTAAATTCAGCTTTGAAAGGACATATTTTTCAGAATGATATGATTTTAAGTAACAAGCTTATAAATATGATGACATAATGAAAATGACATTTTCTAAGAGCTCAATTAATTCGTGGCTTAATATATGTATTTCCAATATTTCAAAAAGATAGATACAAAACTCGTCCTATTTTGGAACTGGAATCGAATATGTGATTATAATCACATATCCGAGTTCTACACCATTTTTGCAAGCTGAAAAGCAAAATTCTACTCCAAATGTAGAAATGCCAACCTATTCGTTTAGTTAATTAGTGAAGAACATAGCGAAATTATACGAATATTTAAATGTCGAAAACTTTGATTATTCATTGATTGCTTGTGTCTCATTTTTAGCTGGATTAACATTTATACTAAATATTTATAGAATAGACATATTATCGCCTTTGTTCCTTTGTTAAAATTTTTGTACGGCACTATTTGCATTTACAGAATTCGTATGCCCGAATTACCAGATTAGGATAATTCTGGTATATACGCCGCACCTATTAAAAATTCTATTTATCAGTTATTATTACCTAATTACGATTAAGGTAAATGAACTATACCAGTAAAAACTTTAGACTGTCTATTACTATGAAAAAAAAATATTAGAAATTAAAAATATTTATTTTTTATATTAAAAAAAAATTCTTTAAACCCTTGCATTTTTGTCGTACAAAAATATGGTTGGGTTATACGGCTTCTCACGGGTGGAACGAATGACTCAAAAAATATACAAATAATCTAAAGAGCTAAGCACTTGTATTTTGCTATACTCTATCCTTTACAATTCCTCTACACTTATGTACCACGAAGCCTTTTATATTTCCTACAATAATCATTTTATGTAGATTATAATTTATGGTTGCGCTACTTATTACAGTGATAAATCGATTTAACGTGCAATAATTTTATAAATATTAACAGTGAAAAACTCTAAAATCATAACATAATACTAATATAACATAAAGGTTTGTAACAGAGTGGTTGCGAGAAAATTACTTTCACTTCTTCTATTTTTTCTGACTTCTGCGGCATAAATCCTCGCGCGGCGTATATACCGGAGTTATCCTATATTTTACACTTTTTTGAAGAAGAATCAGGAGTATGTTTTACGCAACATCATGGAAATTATTTTTTCAAATTCTATTCCTACACGAATATTTTTCTATTATCATCCATTGCATTCATTGCACTCATTTTACATGTTTAAATTTTCCATCTTTTTATAATTCATTCTACACGATGAGATACTTCTTAAAAGCGGCTTTAAAAGTATTGATGTCATCCATAAAAATTTCGTATGATTTTATGTAATTTTCTTAATAGTTATTTTAACAATTTGCAACAATATTAATGTACAAATAAACACGACAATGGGCGTGGAATTACACGAGTAAAATAATTTCCAGGTTATTCCTTATCATTATTACAAAAGGTATTTAAAATACACTTACTCTATTTTTCTACAAAGGAACAGACTATGGAGCTAATTTAATTCACCAAATGGACAATCGTTTATCAATCTAACATGTGACGAGGATGAATATATAATGTAATTATGACTGGAACGTATACTGCAGTGGCACCTCTGATTATCCACTCTGTTCATTCACGTAAAACCACAATCACGCAAATGCGACTGTCGCGATGTGTATCTTGACACGTCGATATTCATTCTAAATATACTTTCAATTTCGTGGACACAACAGTGATACTAAAAAGAAGTCTTATAATTCTCAAAAAACTAAAGTAAAGTGCGAATAATATACAGGTAGAAAACAGAGATTTTCTATACCTAATCTCCCGCGACACACGATTTTCCGCGAAACCGCTAATGATCGCTTCCCTTCATTTTGTGGTTACATTATTATTGAGCTTTCACATTACATCATATTTCTGTATATCTATGACAATTACATCGACGACAATTTAACAGATTTATTATCATTATTACCACCAATGAGTGATCTATTATATACCAAAAAGTATCATTATTATATCAAGCAGATATTATAATTATTTCATATCGACAGTTAAGTTATAGAAATAATAAGTTCAATTATAGCGTTGAATTTATATATATTAAAAATCATTGATTAATATAATTTTGTATTGAAAAATTTATTTATTTGAACGAAGAAGTATTTTATTTTCTTTCAAATATTACTCTTTCACGTTACTAATAACTATATAGAGCACTGCTTACTATATGAATAGTGCAATCCACGTGTTTACATCCCGTAGATGATGCCGTAGATCGAGTTTCTGTACGATGAATGAAACTGCAATGCCGCAAATCTTAGGCGCGCTACACATATATGTATACATGAATACTCTCCTAATTTCCATCTCCATCTATTCAACCACTATATCTCGTTGAATTTTGTCAAATAATTATTATATATTTATTTGAAATATAAATCTTTTATAAATTGTATACAATTAAATATTGTATACAATGTATACAGTTATTACATTTTTTCGGTTCTCATGTCATATTTTTTTTATTATTGTCAAAAATTTATTTATACCGCGCTATTTTACAACGTCGTTTATTATTAAAAAATTTATTTCTCTTTAACATTATTGTTTTGAAAATTTTATTAGAAAATTTCCTTTGAAAATACAAAATGTTTATTGAATTGATAATAATACCAAATGAGGACGTTATGGTACGAATATATGTTAGTACAAAGAATATTTACGAAATTTTATTTGTAGTTACAAATATTAAAGAAAAACATTAAAAAATTGCTCTCATATTGCTGAATTAATCCTTTTATTTCTAAATGATTAAACAACGACAAAAGATATTTGTTTATATTTATGTGCATATGTGACAAATAAACGATTTATAAAAAGATTTTGAGATTTTGAAAACACAAGAATTTTTCTACATGTTTTTCTACATTTTCTACATTTTTATTACTGTACACGGAAAGAACACTTTTGCTGAATCCAGATCTGAAAATAATTTTTGTTCAATAATCAAAATAATTTTGTGCGAAAGTCAAAACGATTGTTAAAATATCAAAACTTTTTATAGCAATGCTTACCAGCTTTAACATAGATCGGAAGAGCAC